AAATTTTGAATATAAAAAAAAAAAATATGTAAAATAGAACATGAATATGTATGTGTTTATGTATGAACTCATTTATCTCGTAATATTCAGCAACATAAGTTTTTTGTATCATAAAACCAACACTTTAATTAGCTTGATTTATGGTAAGTTAAATCCATTTGTGTGAATTTTAACTATGCCGGAATGTGACATTGATTTTTTCTATAAATAGGATAAATATTTTATGAAGATTATCATTAATTTGAATGAATTAATTCAGAGTAATTTACTTTATTATTGATATGTGATAATATTCACAAGTTCTCTTATATAGAAATATAATACAGGTTCTCTTCATTATTGGTTTTATCATTCACTCTATGGTGAAGCCATTATTTTTTGGAAAGTGAAACCACAAGAATTATTGCCATAGTCAAAGTGGAGAATAATATTCGACCTTATCATTCAAAAATGAATTTGCATAAAATGATGCATTCGTTTATCTTTCAAAAATAAATGATGCATTCATTTATCTTTCACTTTTTCCATAAAACAAAATAATGATTTAGTTTCTATTTTAATGTAGGTGACATACCTATGTTCTTTATTAAAAATAGTTTTTATAAAAATAAATGCCAAAACTTAAATTTAAATTAAAAAAAAAACAATTAATAATGAAGAATAACTTTTATTTCGATGAAAGCAGTAGTAAAGATGAGCCCATATATAGAAAACAGCTTAAATTGTAGTTTATGCCCGTACAAACGAATGTATCAACGAACTGGCATCAAACATATTTTTATTATATCTCAGATATTCAAAAATTGAAGTTCAGTCTATTGAAGTTTTGCATAAAAGATTTTGGTAAGAGGCCCATTATTTTAAAACAAAGCGAAAATTTATCATTGTGCTATAGGTTCTAACAATAGTTTTCATATATACAACTTCAAAAATATTTTGGCTATATTCTGAAATTATAAAGGCTACGGTGATATTGTAGCAATAGGGTTATATTACTAGCAAAAATTCAATCAGAAAATCAACAAATGTTATACTCGTATATGAACTCTTATCATCTATTGCTATTGGTGTCTATAACTTTTGGAAAGCATTCGTACAGATGTTACAGAGTTCACACGATCAACTCTATATTTTCTCATTTTTTTTAAAGAAATGTAGTTTATTTTACTGATTTTCATGAAATCGAAGAATCTCTTTCATAAATTTACTTATACTATTTTGTTACTGATAAATTATGAATAGAAATTTTTAGAAGTCTTAAATTATGAAGAGAAATTTTTAGAAAATTAGTATATTTTCAAATATTTTACATTATTTAAATACATAAACTCTTAACTCATTGAGTTGGATTCCAAATGATTCGATACTATTACTGAGAGCAATCAATTTTTTTCAAAAAAAGCAATAATTTTTTGTTTTACCTACTTCAAACAAGAAAAATAAGTGTTCCTAATACTCATTAAACACACTCTGTTACTTTCCTCACCATTTCGCCATAGAACTTATAGCTCTTTAAATCTTTATACCGCAATTGAAAATGCAAACAACTTTTTAATTATACCAGCGAAGAGAGATATTTAGTTTTTATATTGGAAAATGGCAGGATCAAATCTTATTTTGATAAAATGGTTGTAAAAATTAATCATTTTTTTTGGATTAATTTAAAAAAATTCTTCTATACAGCAAGGTTTAGAACTCTCCTACTATGTAATTTGCGTATCAAATTAATTACATAACAATGTTACATTTTAGCTACATAATCTCTGAAAATTTAAGTTTTTCCTTTAATTTCCAATAATATCAAAGTGTAAAGCCTTTTTTTAGTTTATGTTCGTTCCACAGGCATGCAAGGCGTAAGAACTTAACAGGCATAAGAACTTGTTATAATGTTAAGAAAATAAATTATGGTAACAAAATGAGGCTTTTTGAAAATAATTTTCAACAAATTTAAATTTTTTAGCGGAAAATGCGTTGCTTCAATCCAAATTTGTTTTTTTTTTATTAATTCTTAATACTAAGACTGCTTCTTGTTACTACTATATTCGGTATTTCAAATTTCTCAAACTTTTCCAAAACAAAATATAATATGATTTTATTATTATGATTATTAATTTGATTGAATTTAAGTGGGCGATTTTTCGTGAATTCGTTATATGACATTTTTATATGTTATTTTTAGTTTTTGTTAAAAACTTGACCATGTTAAAGCTTATTAACTTGACCATTATTTTAAAATATGCTCTGGTGCTATTGATATTAATTTTTAACAATATCTGGTTTTCTTCCAATAATATTATACTGTATTATACTATTATTGCTAAAATTATTTTATCAAAATGAATTTGCTATCTATTGTTATTTAAAGTAAATTTTAGAAAATATCTTCTCATTTACACAAATTTTACATATTTTTAATTTCTGCCTTTCTGATTCTAAATTATTAATTTTAATTTTAAAAACTTTCACCCTACAAATTTTATTTTGTTCATTAAGGTCTATGTAATTAACAAAATATTCACAAATAAATTTTAATAAAACGGTTGGTATTTCATATAGGAAATGTCTTAATATATAAGGTGGTTTTTCAGCTTTAAATAGAAAATTCTATTAGAAAAATAATAAAAGCAAAAGTGTTAAAATATATGAATCTACTGTAAAGGGTGTAATGAATAAATAAAATGAATATATGTAAATTATTCGTTATAAAAACCACCTTAAATAATTTAAATAAGGGTTAAATAAACTAAGGGAAACAAAATGATATTCACAGATGAGATTTAAAGTTATTCTTTAGACATAAAATATTGATGGAATTATTTTTGAAATAAGGATATCAGTATACTATAAAGTACCTACATATAAGATGAATTTAAATAAAATAAAAGAATTTAAATAAAATATGTAAAATTTTGGTGTTGAAATGGAAAGAAAAATAAAATTTGAATTTAATGCGATTTAGTAGGTTGATATTTGGTTAAAAAAAATTTTTAAATTTCTATACTCATATCTGGAGTTCTTTGAAGAGTTTAGTACAATTTTGTCTAATCGGAATGTTATGAAACCTTAAAGATAAATCATATACATACCAGCTTTTATGTCAACTAAATTAGAAATAATACTACGAAAAGTTTCACTTTACAATAAAGTATTTTCAATTTGTTCGAAATTAATTGCAGAACTTAAATAAGGGATTCCATCAAAATAAGTCTGGATCACGTGATGAAAATGTTAGGATGGAGTTTGTTATTTTCGATTTTAATTATGAACCAAAGGAGATAGCTAATTGTGATAAACTTATTTTAAATATTTTCTAATTTTTTAAATTTCTACTATCTTTGGATGAAGAACGGAAGAATGAGAAAGATTTCAAAGACCGCAAGAAAATTTTTCGAAAAATAAGGAATTTCATTAAAGACTAATAGTTGTTTCGCATTAAATTTTAATTACTTTGAATTGCCAACAACTTGATTATCCCGCCGCTGGCTTCTCTTAATTATAATTTTTATTTCTATAATTAAAACTTTTATACTGCACATTATTCAACACATTTCTACTGCACATTATTATTCTAATGAATTTGTTATAGTCACTATTTAAGAAAATTGTTGACGATATTATATTTTTATTTGGATTTTTCGATTTTCAAAAAATTTTAACCTGAATGCCTTTGACAGATCTTTCATTTGATTTATCTTTTCATTATATTTTAATAGTCATTTAAATAACATTTAGAAAAATTTATTGTATACATAAAAAATCCGAGAACTTTCACATTTAAATTATAAAACATACATTCACAATTTGGAATAAAAACTTTTTGATTCCCTAAAAAGAAACGCGTATTTTTCTCATGCTACAAAGGAAATTAAATAAAAATAATTTTGTGAAAGTTGCATACCCCAAGGCACTACTTATTTATTTTACCAAACCGCATCGTTTGCAATAACAAATCTATTATTGTAATTGTGTTAAATTTCAGTGACATGCACAATATTAATTCGGTAGGCTTAAACTCTATTCTACCGATTAGAGTTTAAGCCTACCGAATTGCGGGCAACTATTTTATTTTCTCATTTTTCTAATGTCTTCATTCTTCTGAGCTTATGATTTTTTTTTCGAATTTTTCAATTCAAATTTTTACTTAGCAAATCAATCATATAGAAGACAAAATAATTTTTCAAAACTCCCAAATTCTTTGGGTAATAAATCTTTACAAATCTCGCCATATACTTTAGGAACCACTTAAGTTTTATAATAAGTAAACCTACTAAGTAGTTTCTTAAGTATATTTCCTACTAACTACTAAGTTTTTAATATTTTTACAATAACACAATAGTAAAAGATTTTATTAAATTTATCAATTTTAAATGTAATTATAAAGACCAAAATCAATACTAAGCAAAAATATTTAATATTAATGGATCTTTAAAAATATAAGAACTCCTCTTTAAAAATTTAAGAATATCTATATTTGAGCAAATTTCCATACATCCTTAATAAATAAAAGCAAAGGAGACGATATTTAAAAAAATGAAACCTCAATCAAAATGTAACAGATGGTCATGTTTCAATTATATAAAAAAAATATTAATTATATTTTTATTTTCTAACGTATCATTTTCCCCACAAAAAAATTTTTTTTAAAATTTGAATCGGAAATTCTAATGAAAATGGGACGTAAGAGTGAAAACAGATTGTTTTGATTAATTTCACTTTGTAACCTTGGACTATAATAATATTTTTTTGTAAAATATTTCAGTTTTTCAAGCAAACTTTAAGGAATTTTAAATTTTAGTTCAAGTATTTTTAACGCTATCAGAATCCTCAGTAGGTGCAAGCAAATTTTTTATTCTTAATTTTGAAAATTCAAATAATTTTTTTAATTATTAAAATTTTATATTGGATGTTTCATTTGGAATAGTCTTCTATTTTTATACTTACATTTTGTTATAATATAAATACAAGATAAAAAAACAAAAACTAAAAATTTTCTCACTCACCTGGTTTAGAATTTGATGTAATTTGCTGTTGTGATGGTTGACCATTATGACCATTTTGTTGAATTTGTTGTTGTCCTTGATGCTGTTGCTGTAATTGTTGATTAACTTGCTGTTGTTGCTGTTGTTGTTGTTGTTGGGCAACAACAGCTGCAGCAGCAGCAGCTGCTGCTTGTTGATGTTGTTGAGCTTGTGTATGAGCTGGATGTATTGCTAATAATTTTGTTTCAGGTGGTTTATGTGGCCCAACCGTTATTTGTGGTGCACCAATAGCCATTGTTGGTGCTGGCATCATTAATGTTGACATGGTCAACATATTTGTTAAAGGATAAATTTTTATTTTTTTTTTGTTTTTCTTTGCTTTTGTTTTTCTTTTTTGTTATATAATAAATTGTATATTATTTATTTATAAAAATAAATAAAAAAATGTTTATATTTATTTTTTCTTTTATTATTTTTATTTTTCACCTAATCAATATTCGATTTTGTTAAAATAACAATTTATTTTAAATTTATTTTACAATTTATTTATTTATTTTTTTTTTTGTAAAGAAATTTTAATATCAATTTATTTATATTTTACAAAAGTGTAAAGTATAAGGTTAACATTGAATATAATATTTTTGGTTGCTATAGTTTGTTGTCATATAATATCAATGAAATTATAATCTGATGAAATTTTTAATATTATTTGATTTTATTTTTAAAACAAAATAAAATAATGAAAGAAATCAATTAGTACTTGTATTTATGTAGCTTATAACAATAAAATCAATTAATATTTTGTTCCTTCAATAGTAATATTTTTTTGTAATTTATTTTCAGAAATGTAAACAAATTGTGCTTACTGAAATAATAATTTCGTTAACTGGTGCACAGTTATTGAAAAATTATTAATATTTAATAATTTTATTATAAGTTACATATTGGGGCATTGTCATTCATAAACAAATTACAGAAAAAAATGTCGAAATTAGAATGGTTGATATAGTTTACAGTTTGCATTCATTACCGAAAAAGAATACAATTTCAAATAATATAAATTTGAATTACATAATATTATGTAGATAGTTAAATTACTAATTAAAACCAGGTTTTAACATTGAACTATTGTGAATTTCAAAAATTTAATTACTTTCTTTAAAATTTACAAACAAAAATATCCTAAAGTTCAACTGAACAATTTTAATATTATAGCTTGTTCAATTTCAACTCAATTATTTATGAAATTTCGACTGAATAAATATGAAAATTTCGACTGAATAAGTAAATTATATTTTAGTATAATTCTAAGCTGCAAATAATAATTTCATTCTTTAAAATCTTTTCATTTTGTCAAATATTTAAAAAAAAAAAAAAATTAATTTGACCCACCACTTTTTTATTGCCATTTAATATGATTACAAGCCAAGAGCTAAAAATTTTGTTTTCAATCAAAGAAAAGAACAAACAAATTCCCTTTAAAAAAGAAAGTGTTTTTACTCTACTGACAAAATGAAATTTTTTTTATTTCTAATAATTACTATTGTTAGAGGCTTGTATTTAAACGGTGTTCGCGTAAAAATTCTTTGTTGTATAATTTATTTTAATATTTTAATTCTCTTTATAATAAAATATATTTATTGTATATATATAAATATATCTTTTTATATATATCTTTATATATATATATATGTACAATAGATTTAATATAATTTTTTTTTTAAATCAATTTTTTTTTTATTTCCCAATTTGTTCTTGTTTTCCTTCTCTCTCTTTCTCTCTATAGCTCTATTTCTCGTTATATATTTTTATTATTATTATATTTCTCTACTTTTTCTCTCTATAAATAGAGTATCAATTGAATTTTTCCTAAATTTTTGAATTATATTTCATTTTTCATTGATAAAAATTTTATTATGTATATAATACTTTATATAACATATTATTATATATTATATAAATATATAATTGCAAGTAATTTTAATATATATATATATATATATAGTTATTATATAAGAAGATAACATACACTTAAAATGTTTGTCAGCATGTACCGATATATATATATATATATATATATATGTATATATGTAGAACAACTTCTATCCTGAATTTGAGTTTTTTTTGTTGTTTTATTTTTTGTTATCAATTTATTTTTTCATGTGTGTCTTCCTTAATTTATTGTTATATTTTTTATATTATTATTATATATTTTATAAATTTATTCTAACATTTCACTAATTTATAATAATATTCTTTTCTATTCGAAATTTCAATTAAAAATTTTTTTTTTATTATTATTATTATTTTTGGTTTTTTATAAAAGAATTTAAATATCAAATTATTTTTGTGATTAAAAATTTCATTTGTATTTTATTTGAAATTTTATTTAATTATGTTTTATATAATAATTTTTTTTTTATTTTGTTATAAATTGCTTATTTAATATTTTGTGTTTATTTTTTCCTTTTACCAAGTATTTTAAATCAAATTTTTTTCTTGCTGAAATTTCTTAATCAAAATATAACAAAACTTTCTTTGTGTATATTTTTTTGTTATTTTGTATTTAAATTTTGATTTTAAATTTTTTTACATAATTTACTTTTACTATTAACAGGCATATTTTCTTTTTTACATTTGTTTGCAATTATAATTTAAATATTTATAATTTTTATTTTAAAAAAATTTTCCAAAAATAATTTTTTTCAAGTATTATTTTGTTTTATAAAAAAATAAATATATAAACTAAAAAAAAAACACACGATTATATTTTTTCTCGTTAAATGTGAAAATATTTCAATGGAAAGAAAATATATTATTTTTTTCTTTTTGTTTGCGAAAACCCGAACTTATATTTATATCTGAAATTTCAAATTCAGATAATCAAACAATAACCAACCCAAGGAAAAAAAAACATAAAAGGACATACGTTATACGTGTATATATATTTATACGTATATAATATAAATGTATATATAGATATATAAATATATAAAATATGTTTATTATTATTATTATTATTATTATTATTATATTTTTTTTCTTATAATAAATACTAATAATATATAGAAGATCCTTTAACGAAAAAAAGACGTACTAAACCGTAAGGCGACACTGTTCTTACTAAAGCTTTCTGTTTAACTTTTTATTTTAATGGTAAAGTAAAAACGGAAAAATTGTTTTATATTATTTTCCTCTTCCAACATCACTTTGTTGGGTTTACATTTACTCTATTCTGTTGTATGTTTCTGTTTTTTTTTTTCTTTCATTTTTTTCATTTTTGCTTTTTATTATCCTTATTATTTTTATGTTTTACGTTCTTGTGTTTTTATATGTGTTGGCTTTGCTTTTGCTTTGCTAAACATATACTCTTTTTAACAAAAAAAAAAAACAAAAAACAATTTCAAAAACAAAAAATAAATGGAAACACAGAAACACTCTACAATTTCAACTCTAGTAGTATACTCTTCTCTACTCTATATAATATAAATATATATTATATATATATTATGAGTATATATACATAATATGTGTATAAAAAAAAACTTATAATATAAATTATATAGACATATTTTTGATGTTTGTATATGTGTGCATGCACGTAAAATACGAAAAATTTTGTATTTTGCCATATGAAAAGTGAGAAAATTTTAATTTTCCTTTTGTTTTCTTTTCCTTTTTCCTTGTTTTTGTTCTGTTTTGTTTTCTTTTTCTTGTTTTTTTTTGTTCATTTCTACATTGATATCAAATTGGAAATGTTGTAAAAGATTTTTTGTTTTTGGTGGAAATTAAAAAAATAACAAAAAAAATATTTTGCTTATATCTTTGAGTATACCACAAGTATAATGTAGGTACAATAGATTAATTTTGTTTATAAACATTTTCATATGCATATGTTGCTTATATGTGTAGAATAATAATTGTAAATATTTTTTTTATATGCATATGAGTACATACAATACGCGGTTATACATACACATTTTTTGTACTATTTTATATTTAAAATATTTCGGCATAGCATCCTTATTTTTTCACATACAAACAGACAATTCAATTTTTTCTATTTCGTATATTTTGGAATCATTTCATTATTTTATTTTTTTTTTTTTTTTGTGTTCTAATATAGTTGTTATCTGTTTTGTGAGTTGTCGTTGTGTTGTCGTATTCATCGTAATTATTATTATATTTATCATTACAATATTCTAAAATATAAAAAAAAAATAAGGAAAAAATATCAATATCAACATGAAAATTCGCTCTCATCGTGAGTCTTATCAGACACAAAACAAAAATTAAATTTGTGTAGCACACATATAAAGGATGTTTATGAATTTATCATATTATTGCCATTATTGTAGAAGAAGAGTATATTGTATAGTTTTTCACAAAAAATATCGAAAATTGTTCCAAATATTGTGAAAATATACAAATATGAAAATGAATTTAGCTGAAGAAAATTAAGGAAAAAAATTATTTCTTTTCTATTCAGCTACAAAAATATTATTATATAGTATGGTTTTACCTCAATTTTTTTCAAAACACACAAAATCAAATTAAGAGTATAATCATCGCATGATTTTTGAAAAGATAAATGCAAAACAAATAATTTCATTAATACTGAGAAAATATTTTTTTATAATATTTCAATATTATAAAATTGAATGTATATATGTGTATGTACAAAATTTATATTCAAAAATAAATTCATTTTAGAATGTATGTATTATAATTTTAGAAAAAGAAAGAACAAAAAAGCAGAGGCTATTATTCAGCTCTAAAATTCAGCTATTCAAATTTAAATAATTTATTATGAAAACTATATAATACATACATATACATTGATAATATTGTGACATTATTTCATATATTTAGAAAAAGAAAAAAAAATTTTGTTTATGTATAGGTAGTACAAAATATTATATTGCATATATATATATGTATATGGGTATATCTACTTTTATAATCTATTATATAAACATTATTATTATTATTATTATCATTATTATATTTTATAAAATGTATGTATTTGTATATAATTGTAAAATATTGGCAGAATACAAAACAAAATTAAGGATAAGAATATTATAAGGCAAAATATTTACAAAACATATTATTTAAATAAAGCGTGTGAAAATAATACTAATTTATATATGATATGATTTTTTTTAAATATTTATATACATAAATATATTAAGTAAGTAAAAGTTAAAAGTAAATAATATTATAATATAAATAAATTATTTACTTAACTTCAAATAATACAAAATATAAAATATTTAATATGGATTAGGCTACGTTGATTGTCTCAAACAATTTTCATTTTTAAATTTTTCAATTGCAAGACAATTAAATTTCCTAATTAGCAAAATACCTATTAGTTAAGCAACTACACGTTTAATTAGTAATTCAGTAATGTTTTCTAGTTATCTATACTTTGTACTATTTATGGTTTTAGTATTAAAATTTGAAATAAGTTTATAGTTCAAAATTCCTGCTATATAACAAATTAAAATTTTACTTAATTAAAAATCTACAATAAAACACTCTGTATAATAGTTTAAAAACTGCT